AGCTCTCCCCAGGTACGAGGGGCTGGGAAGCAGGTTGTGATGGAACATCTTAAGGGGGGTAAATCCGTGTGCTCTGCATGCATCTGCTGCTGCTGCTCTGCAGGAGGAAGGGGGCAAAAAATGGGCTTAAACAGAGCAGTATGCGGCGACTTGCTGCCAGAGTGGGGTGAGCTGCTCCCCTGCCCAGGGAACAGAGGATAAATCCGACCTTTGCCAGGTTGCCTGATCTCGTGGAAGAAAATCAGGTTTCTCTGTGGCTGTGGAGGGAGCCTGGGCAGAGCCAAGTGCTCTTCTCAGGCACCAGGCGTGGAGGGGAGCTGGGGTTTACCTGGGGGTTGCTACACAGCAATTAAATCATCTAAGAGGGAGGTGGCTGCGAGCAATGGCCTGAAATCTAATGGCTGGAGGAGCATGCGCTGAGCAGGCTACAGGAGGGAGGGAGCGAGGGGTGGCAGTGCTCTGCCCCACAGATGCTGTGTGTGCTGCTGCCCCTCTCGTGTCAGCCCTCAATACGTGGGGCAGAGCTGCCATCCTTGGGACCCTTCCTCCTCCTGCTGCTCTGGGACCATACTGGTAGGTGAAGAGGCTGCTGTAACGCGTGGTGTCTGCTCCCACACCTGATGTGGCTCCTGTTGCCCTCCACTCCCATGTCACTCCTTCCTGCCTTTGCAGGGCTGCAATGTCATGGAAGACCAGGACCTTCGGGACATCGGGATCGGTGACCCACAGCACCGTCGGAAGCTGCTCCAGGCCGCTCGCTCCCTCCCGAAGGTCAGTGCTGACACCGTCACGTGAAGCAGGGAGGGGGCTTTCTCCAGTAGGGGTGGAAGCAGGGGAAACAAAAGCCAGTCCCTGTGGCTCCAAGGATCACAGGGGTTGTGGGAAGGGTTTTGGGAATGACAAGGAGGAGAAGGAGTATATTGGTCTGCCAAGCTACATGGATGGGATGACTGCTGGGGAGAGGGTGGCTGTCCCTGCCAGTCTTGATCCCAAGTGCATTCCCTATTCATAGGGTGACTTTTTTACTTTAAAGCTTCTAGTGGAGATGATGATGGCCTTTAAATTGATTTCAGTTGATGCTGATGCCTTGGAATCCCATCCCCCTGGGGCTTTTAACCCCTTTCTTGTGCTTTTACAGTTGAAACCCCTGGGCTGTGATGGGAACAGCCAGCCTTCGGTTCCTGCATGGCTCGACTCTTTGGGGCTGCAGGATTACATCCAGTCCTTCCTCTCGAGTGGCTACAGCTCTATTGACACTGTGAAGAACCTCTGGGAGCTTGAAATAGTAAACGTGAGTGTTACCCTTCTCCTGCCATGCAGTGAGGTCCTACCCACGTTCTCTCTGGGGATGTGGCTTGCAGCAAGTCATAGAATCCCACAATCATTCCTCATAAAAGAGATGCTCCAGACCCCTGAAACCCCTGATCATCCTGGTGCCCTCCACTGGACCTTCTCCAGTAGCTCCTTGTCTCTCTTGGACGGGGGAGCCGGGAACTGGACTCAGTGCTCCAGATGTGGCCTCAGCATGGTCAAGTAGAGGTGGAGAATCCTCTTCCTCAACCTGCTGCCACAACTCCTCCAGGTGCACCCCAGGATACTCTTATCCCTCCTGGCTCAAGGGTACATGGCAGTTCATGGTCAAATTGTCATCCACCAACACTCCCAGGTCCTTCTCAGCTGAACTGCTCCAGTAGGTCAGCCCCAACCTGTCCTGGTACTTGGGTTCTTCCTTCTCAAGTGCAGAACCCTACAGTGGCTCTTGTGGAACCTCATTAGGTTTCTGTCCACCCAATTCTCCAGCCTATTGAGGCCCCTCAGGTGTGTTAAACAGGAACAGCACAGCTCAAAGAGGGGAAGCTTTGCTTTGTGGCCAGGGCAGGAAAACCTCCAGTGACCATGGGCTGTCCCTGCAGGTGTTGAAGGTGAACCTGCTGGGCCATCGGAAGCGGATCATCGCCTCCCTGGCAGACAGACCATACGAGGAGCCACCAGCAAAGCCACCGCGCTTCTCGCAGCTGAGAGTGAGTCAGTGTTTGTGTCCCTGCCTCTGTGCAGAACGTGCTCAGCACTGGCTGGGTGCTTCCTCTGCCCTTCACTTTCATCCCTCTCTTTCACAGAACTAAACCTGAGTCTGTCAGGAATAATTGTTCCCTTTCTAATTAGCAGCTCTCACCCCTGAGGGACTTAGTGATGTGTAGAGGATGTTTACTGAGAGCTCAGGTCCTGGCTGGGTATCCGGGCTCAGAGCTCAGCCACATTCAGCTTTCCTCTGCTGCTTTCATGCACAGGAAATTCTGCTTAGCAAAATCAATAAAAAAGGGGAAAAAACCCTACTACAATGTCAATATTGAAGTTGAAACTCCTTTGAAGGTAAGGATTGAGAGTAATAAGCACAGAGAGTGATCTTTGAAAATTACATTGCTTTTGAAAAGAAGGAAAGAAGAAAACCTAAAGGGCTTGTTTCATATTAAAACTAATCAATCTGACCTGGTAGCTTGGGTTACTCCTGGTTCTCGGTACTTGGTGGTTTGGAAAGAAAGTTCTTGAAGCATTGAGGCAACTGCACATGTGGTTGTGCAGAGGAGAGAGTGTTTTCTGTTAACAGTTCCCATGGATGCACCATGGCTGCTGCTGGGGATAATGCAGAGTCCAGAACTCCCACTCCCATTCCCCAAGTGGGCAAGAAGAACCTGGGGAAATGACAGCCAGGCTGGAGCACTTGGGCAGAGTTAAAACAGATTACAGCTTTGAGAAGTGAGGGGGGGGAGGTGATATTCAGCCCTTGCAGGTCAGGTTCTGGCTCCCTCCCCATGGGAATCATTAGGCAGCTCCTTCAGATCAAGTGCCTCCATGCAAGGTAGGTGCCTGCACTGAACAGAGCTGACTTTCTTCCCCTTGTTTCCTGGCCAGATGTAAGGCAGCCTTCCCGCAGGCAGGAATGTGGCATGGCTCAGTTGGGATGGGATGCAGCTGGGACCTGTTTTGATTGTGCTGGTTGGGAGTCTTGAGATCTTTCTCCCTGGGCTGATTGGGCTTCTCTAGAGCTCTTGCTGCCAAATAGCACTTGATGTGATCTGTGGATGATGGTTTTTTGCTGTAGGAGTGGCAGCCTTTGGATGTCAGACCCTTGGTTATCAGGGTTGGCTGAGAGGGTAGCTGCCTCATTCACTGTTCTTCCTGAAAACTGGCATTTGAGAGAGCAGTTTGGCAAACCCCATTGAGTTTGCAGTTCACCTGCAGCCTCAGGAGCAGGGCAGTGTGCCACAGAGGGGGAGCATGGCATCCTGCTTCCTTCCACTGCTTGCAAATCAGCTTCCTGGAGCAGCAATTGGAGTTTCCCCATCCCAAACATCTGGTCCTTACCCTGCTGCACAGCTCTTTCTTCTTGCTTTGGATTCCCAAAGCTTTTCAATGAGCTGAAATGAGTTGAGTTGCTGTGTCCTGCTTACTTACACTGGATTTTATAGGAACTGAGGTTCTGGTGTAAAAAGGAGGGGGTTTACACTGATACTGCACTGGGAATGGGTGCTCAGGAGCCACGTACAAGCTCTGCACCTTCACCCTGCTGCCCTGTTCCGACTACAAGAGCCCTGATGGGCAGCAGCCAACTGAGGATCTGTTCCTGCAGGCACAGGGGGGTTGTCTGGGGCGGGGAGAGGAGTCCTTTGGTGCAGCCTCAACTGATTGCTATGCTGCACAGGGAGGCTGTGGAAGAGAATGGGCCATTTGCAGCATTTCCTGGTGCTCCAGCTGGTGAGATCCGGAGCCTGGCTCTGGCGTGGGGAGCGGAAGGACGTCAATGGCAAATTAAGCCAGTCTGTTGAATAGGACTAATGTGTGTTGCAGCTGTGAGCTTCCCACTTTGTCTGCTGGGCTGGTTGGCACATCCAGGCAGTAGATCTTGCCTGCAGTAAGAGCCAGGCTGTCAGGCATCTGGGCTGGGCTCTTGCTGGGCTCTCAGGGCTTTTCTCCTGGGGTGGTTCATCATCAGCGGCTTCGAGTGCTTTGCTTAGTGCTTTAGTGGAGCCTGTTTCTCTATAAACACCCTGCTTATGGCTCAGTGTCTCTCCTAGGATGTGCTCAATAGAGGTGTGCTCAGCAGAAAGGGCTGCACAACCATCCTGGAGCAGATCCAGGGGTATTGTGGCAAATAAATGGTGGGATGGATGACAGGGAGGCAGGAGCCTGCAGAGCAGGAGCTGACCCCCTTAACTCTGCTCACTGCACCCTGACACTGTAGAGGGGGCGAGGAGTGTCTCTGCTACACACAGGCTGACTGGGGTTCGTGGTGTCTGCTTGTTTCAGTGCCAGGACCTGATGTCCCAGACGTCGTCCCCCCTGAGCCAGAACGACTCCTGCACGGGCAGATCTGCTGATCTGCTGCTGCCCTCCGGGGACACTGGCAAGAGGCAGCACGAGCGAGGCACCGAGGCTGCTCCCTACTCCAGAGCTGAGCGCTACAAAGCACAGGTCAGCGAGTGCTTCTGTGTGTCCTGGAGGTCCCTCTGTGCAGCTCAGTGCAGGATCCCCCCTCTCTGGAGACAGTGAGGAGTCAGGATGATGCACAGGGCCCAGGGAAGGGGATCCAGCACAGAGGCCATCAGGCATCAAAGCCCGCACAGTCGCTGGCAGTGTGCTGCCTCCTCCCGGCCCCTTGGGAATGGGATTTGGCCATGGCCACTGCAAACCTCAGTTGCATCCAGCCTAAGAGCACTCCTGAGATCTGTGTTTGAACCCAAGCTGGTCCTGTTGTGGCTTCACATCATGTTTCTTGCCTTGCAGGAGGACCGTCGGGAGTCAAAGCTGACTCTGCGCCCCCCCAGCCTGGCTGCCCCCTATGCCCCAGTCCAGAACTGGCAGCACCAGCCAGAGAAGCTCATCTTCGAGTCCTGCGGGTATGAGGCCAACGTAAGTGTCTTTTGGCTCATTGGGTGGTGAGGATAAGTAGGCTCCAGGATCAGGTTGTTGTGCTGCCTCCCCTCCCCGGGTGACATGTCCCTCCCCATCCACCGTCTCGTGAGAACCCACTTGCAGCACTGTGTGCAGCTCTCATGTCCCCAATATGAGAAGGACATTGAGCTGTTGGAGCAAGTCCAGAGGAGGCCACGGGGATGATCGGGGGCTGTAGCACCTCCTAGATGGAGACAGGCTGAGAAAATTGGGACTGTTCAGCCTGGAGAAGAGAAGCTGCGTGGAGACCTCAGAGCAGCCCCCAGTGTCTGAAGGGGGCTACAAGGATGCTGGAGAGGGACCTTCATCAGGGGCTGTAGTGACAGGACAAGGGGTGATGGGTTCAAACTGAAACAGGGGAAGTTCAGGTTGGATCTAAGGAAGCAGCTCTTCCCTGTGAGTGTGCTGAGGCGCTGGCACAGGGT